GGGTGCTTTTACAGATGAAATTATTTAAGTGTGCTAGGACTGCACCCAGCTTTTGTAATCAAGGCTTTTTCATCCCAAATATTGAGACGAACTTTATAGAAATATGCATATTGCCAATGAATTGTTTGTAGAGAAATACTTCATCAGGGAGTTAGGCTCAATAATGAATATTTTAATAGAAATAATTATTCTGATCATGAAATAATAGATGCCACAAATAAGCTCAGTTGCAAATTTTAGAGATTCTTGGTCAATCTATACTCAGGAGAGCCATCCTTCCCTGCCTGCTGCCTTGTTTAGATTATACTCTTTCTGCATGGTCAGAATAACCATAGAAGAGAATGAGAAGAAGGCTATTGTTGTTCCTTCTAGCTTCAAATGATGCTAATTCACAAACAAATTGCCAGGAATCTCCAGGAACTGGCAGTGATTATGAGGATCTATGAGCCACAGTATATATCCAACGATTCCTATTTGGATACGTACCTATGGAAGTCCTTCTGATAAAATTCCTTTTGATTGGCTTCTCTGGCATCGGTGCTATCTTTCTCCAGAAAAAATTATCATAAACAGGGAGGTCAGCTATGAGTTATCCACCACTATGCTTATCCACAATGTCTTTGATAATCACATCGTAGACAGTTTTCAATGCAGCTTTTCAGGCATGCACCAAAACTGGTTGGCAAGAGTTGGGCAGGCAGAAATATGGAAGAATATTTAACAAAAGATTAATCAATATCCATAATATCCTACCAGGGCACTGTTACCTTAAATGGCAAGTGCTTCTGCACATTTGGTTTTTTAGTGTCAGTATATGACTGGTCTGTAAGGACAGAAGTAGATAGTTTGTAGTAACCTGGATTCTATACGGAAACCTTGAGTTCCCATGCCTTAAGTCCACCTTGCATTAAAAATAAACAACAAAAAATTGATTAGGCTTCCCATATTGTATTATAGGTTTGCACAGTGATCCAATTTATTATAAAGTTAATTTCATTTACACAACTTCTGTTGTCATGGCTTCAATTACTGTCTTTCTTTCAATTTAGCAAACAAGAAGTTGTTACTATGTTGCATCCTGTTAGCATTCAAAATATCTTATTTCCAGTATCAGGAAGTTGAAGAATCAAACAGACCAGGAAAGGGTATAACTGATTTTTTATATGAGTGGAAAATTGACAGTGGAATTATACTAAAAATAGAGAGTCTAATATCAATGAAATTATTATCCAGAATGTGGAATTACATTTTCACAAATTAAAAGAATTGTGCTGGATCATGCCCAGAGAAGGTAACTAGTGTTGTCACTTAGTTGTTGTAAATTCTGTGCATTCCTTTTTTACTTTTAAGTTATTATCATGTGGAAATCTACCGAGCAGAGCCTAGCGTAAAAGATATGTATTCAGAACTAAAGACTCCACACTCCAAAGCTTTTCATTCTGGAACTGAACAAGTACACAATTCTCCCTTAATAAACTCTGCCTCTGAATGATACTATTAATTTTAGTAGCATATTTGTTTTATTAGATTTATGCCCCATCTTTTTTTTTTACAACTTAAGGGAGCGTGTACATAATTCTTGTTTTTCCTGTCTTCCACACAATCAAAAGCTATAAGGAGATTAGGTTGAGAAAGTAACTGATTGGCAAAAAGTCACAAAGCTGACTTCAATGCCTACACAAGGACTAGAACTCATGGTCACCTGGTTTTGAATCCATCACCTTGGGTGAGAATTAATATTGGGAGGGGCTTGCAATTTCACTGCCTGGGCAGTTTGATCTTATAGTTTTGGATGTCAACCAAGTGGGGACCAATGCTCTAGAACAGAGGTCAGCAACCTTGACAACTTTAGGAATTCTGGGCGCTGAAGTCCACAAGTCTTAAAGTTGTCAAGGTTGCAAACTGCTGCTCTAGAACAGCTGTCCTGCCCTGGCCTATTGCAGACTATGGGAATCCATCATCTTTCCATCCGCTGCCACCAAAACTGATGATGTTCAGAACTAGAACCCAGCATGAGCAGAAAGGCATAAGGTTGGGAAAGGACGCCATAAGATCAAAAGACCACAAGAGTGAAAAGAGGATCTCTTTAGCTTGGGTAAAGACAAAGTGACCTAATATAGAAATTTTACAGCAAAAGATGCCAAGGGTTCTTGAATATAAAATGGCAGAACAAACATTCTTATGGTTTCTGTTTCACCCAGTCATCAAAAAGATGGTACAAAAAAATGCAGCCATGGGGAAAATAAACTAAAAATAAAAACTTGCCATGGAAAAGCCAGATAAGGGCACATACACCTCTATTTTCCATGTAGTTATATATTTCTTAAATATAAGAGCCACATTTTGATGAAGTACTGCATAAAAATTATCCCTTTACAAGATATTTCTTTACCACCAAACCTGTGAACATGTTAGAGCAGGGGTGTCAAACTGCTGGCCCGTGGGCCGGTTTCATCATACCGGAGCCGCGCCCACCCCATTGCTGGCAATGGCAAAAAAGCTCCGTGACATCACGTGACGTCACATGATGTCACGAGTTTGACATGCCTGTGTTAGAGTGACAAGTCCACAGACACCACTGAGAACTTCATAGCTGTGTTGAACAAAGGACATTAAAATCTTGAGTTCTAATGTATCACTTTAATGCATACCACTTTGCATCACTTCTCCCACAAATCAACGGAGAAGTGTAACTTCCAAGTGGTTTGTTGATGGTTAAATCTATTACCAAATGCAATCATTATTATCAAATAGTTTATACCATTTATACTAATGATAGTTCTGTTATTTAACTATCTGAAGTTATAATGCTGAGATGTGTGGTCATATACACTAAAACAAAAGTTTTCTAATTGGCTTAATCTATGTCAGGCCCCCCAAGACACATGGAGTTACGTCTGAGTAGTATTCTTTATTGTTCCTCATTTATAGACAAAATCTAGCTAAACTAAAGCAACTGCTGTATTTGCACAATGATATTCTACCAATAGAAGAAAAAAATAGGAATTGTTTACAAGATACAATGTAAGGGACTAAAACAGCAACTATGTAGCACAAGAGATGAAAGACTAGCAAAATGTATCTTAGAACAACAACTAGGTCAGAAAACATGATGCAAACTCTTTAATTACACAACATATAGTCAGACTTAACTATAGCTTCAATTGGGAAACTGTGAATATCCTACTAAACCAAGCCAAGTCCAGAAATACTAGATAATTCCTGGAAGCCTGACATTTAGACAAATCAGCCAACAACAGGCAGAGATAAACAACATCTATATGCCATTGAAAAGATACAATCAAAAAATCAAAAAAGAAACAAAAAGCCTCCTCACCAGCAATCAACACCCAGATAAGCAGAGATTAACAGCAAGATTAACATTTGAACAACAATTAAGAAGCAAACAATGCCCCAATCAAGGAACCACCAACTCAGACTAACAAGCTAACAATAGTAAACAACAACCTAATCAAAGAACACCGACTCCAACCCCATTCCCTTCTAGCACTGATGATATTACTTAGTTTGGTAATGAAACAACTGCAAAAAAACCACCAAGCATAGAGAGCACCAAGCAGCCCACAACTAGATATACTCTGGGAATCTGTAGGGAGGAGCCCTCTTAATTCTCTTTCTCTTGACCAAGCTCTCCATGCTTTGTGGCCTCTTTGCCCTCCGGAGTGCAGCACCTCCCTCTCAGGAGTCCAGACTTACCTTCCACCACAATTTGTTACTTTATTTCACCAGTCAACCTCAACAACAGACTGGGCCAAACTCATTGCTTCTCACTTGATATATAGCATCTTTCTATTCTTGTATCAATTTCTCTTCCTTTGGGGCTCAAAGAGGATGTCTAAATGTTCCTAACCACACATTTTTTTTCTGGTTTTTTTTTTTTGTTGTTGTTGTTTGTGATGATTTGGGAGAAATGCCAAATTTCTGCTGCCAACAGAAACTTCTCTCATTGGGAAATGAGAGATCAGCACAATACCTGGGGCATTTTACTACATGTAATAAAAGAAAAGTAAGCATTCCACCTATAATATGACTAGCAGCTGAGTTTCATTTCAACACTGCCAATGACTTACTAGAACTGAAAATAAGATTACTTTGGAGATGCAAACCAGGCTATTCAAGACAAACAGTCCCTTTCTTTCTGTTAATTCTCACTAATCATAAAGTCAAGAATCAAGTAGCGCCTTTTCTGTCTAACAAACTTTATTAAAAGGTATAATCTTTCTTGAGCTACAGCTTATTTCATCGGGGACATGGTGTGGCTAAATATGATTAAGGATTTAAATTGGATATATTTATCTATTAAATTTCTGTACCAGCTATCTCATCAATATTGGCTTATAATACAATAAAACGTTAAAAACCGCTAAAAATGAATTAAAATTAGAAAAATTGAGGAAGAGAAGTTAAAAGTTAAAAACCAAGATCATGGATGGCAATAATCACCACAGATCTTCTCTATCCCTGCAGCACCCCCAATATATCAGGCCCCTACTGGGGCCCCAGGTGAAGCAGCGGAACCAAATGGTTAGGCTCTTCTGGAAGGCCAGGAATGTAGTTGAGACGGAAAGGAAGGGAGACATAAGTTTGTTCTGCAGATGCAGTTATATATGAAACAGATTACAAGTGCCTGTTTGTTAAGGCCTTCTGAGAATGCCTGAAAATATTTTGATGTAAACTAGTTCAGCCACCTCTCCCACTTCACCCCAATTTCAATACTTCATCAGTCGCTCTATGCATCTGATAAAGTGCTCTGCGGGTCAGAAATACCTTTTAATAAAATCTGTACTAATAGAAGAGAGGATTTATAGCTCAGGGTTGAACTGTGGGGTCCTTGGTGCTCCCTGAGCTTGGCTGTTTTCTTGCAGACATTTCATTTACCAGCTACCAGTAGGTAAGGCAATGAAATGTCTGCAAGAAAACAATCAAACTAAGGGAGCACTAAGGACCCCACACAAAAAAAATGTTAGTTGAAAAAGGTGCTACCAGACTCCCTGTGATTTTTGACCACCACAGATTAACACATCTGTCTTCCTGCAATGTTCATAGCAGTCAATGATGCTTGGGAATACTTTCCTTAGGATGGTTCAGGTCAGAAATGGGCTGTTAGGTTCCACATCTTGGCAAATACCCATCCACACAATCTTTAACACTGGTTCTGAATATGTGTTATTAAATAGGGCTTATTCTCAAGTAGGACAGAATGGCTGCCCTTAGACTTAGTCAAGATACCTAATGGTTTTAGATTTTTTTTTTAAAAGCAAGAATAGTTTGAAAATTGAGAAAGGAAGCACAAAAAAATTTGCAATTATGTTCAACCTTGATTCATGTTGCCCAATTCCTTTTGTGGTTTATTAGAATTTCTCAAGAATACCTACAGATCCTTTTGTGGACAACTTAGTTTTTGTCTACACCAGTTTCACTTCCTTCTATATAGAATATTTGCAGATGTAACCAGAAAAATACAGCAAAAGATGTTTAGAAAATACCACTTGAAACTGTACTATAAGGAAGTTAAAAAGACACTAATTTGATAAAAGTTAAATAACTCTTTCTAATGTACTTATTTGCCTAGAAGGAGGAAGTGAGTAAAAAGAAAGCAGCAGAACATGATTATAATTGAAAAATTGCCCCAGGGAAGTCAAAAATCACCCTATTGCTAAATTTTCAAGACAAGAAAATATATAGCACAGAAAGTTTGGGGTTCTTTCTACTTAAAAGAAAAGCTAGGAAAAACTGAAGTCTTTGTATTTTCATGAAGTTATAAAATTCAATTCACAAACAAAAGGAAATGCTATCTGGTGAGTACTTAATTATAACAACTTTGAATGCTGTTGTAATCTTCATTGGCAAATGTTGCACAATATAGCTCAACTATCTGGAGATTTTTCTATTTTGAAGGGAGTTCATTTTACCCCTGTAGCTTGCAAGGTCTTCATAGCTAAAGCCATTTCCTATCCCTTTAAATGTCAGCATGCTATTTTTAGAAAGCTTGATATCCTTCAAGTTGTCTAATCTAAATTTATGAGAGTTATTCTTGCAGTTCAATGATGTATTAACATCTTGCCCAACAAGGTGGGTTTGGTGTCTATGTCACTAAGGCTTGATACCATCTTTTTAATTTTTGGTTAAAGTTAATTTTCTATCTAGTGGGTTTGGGCTCAATGGTAATCAGAGGTCACTTGAATTCAACCTAAGAAAATGCTATTGACAAACTTTATGCCTAAGACTCTTGAAGAGCTTTTGTCATTTAGATTGTAAAAGTGCCAGAAATATTTTTAAGCAGCATAGAATGGGACATGGATTTTCAAATCAATCTAAGTCTGTCTCTCAGCCATTTAGCTTGTGGTGTCTTTTCAAACGAATATGAGTCATCTTCTTGGCAGTAGCCTCTTTATTTCAGTCACTGACCAGCATAACATAACATTCAGGAGTAAAATTATAGCCATCCCATTGCGGTCACAGTTTTATCTATGTATTATAAGACTTGACTAAAACTTAGATAATTGGCACAAACTATAAAATCATGATACCAATACCATTAGGAAAGTATGTTTAAAGTTTCAAAACAGAAATTGTTTATATGATTTGGGTAAAACTATAGAACAGCTTTTGTCAGTTGTTGTACAATTGGTTTGTGTAGGTTAGAAAAAAAGTGAAGAAGGGGCATTGTCTTACCTGAACGCCTTTTCTCAGCATGATGATGTAGAATCCACCGGATGGGTTATTTCAGCCTTCCTGCCCAGATAGACTAGATCAGAACTTTGGCCACGCCTCCTTCAGGGTGCGCCTTCCCAGTTTTGACGAGGCGAAGCATCACTGACAAAGTCCGGCGCACTGGCTCCAAGTATCAATACACCTGCCTAAACTGCCTCAAGGGAGGGTGTGGATTCTACATCATCATGCTGAGAAAAGGCGTTCAGGTAAGACAACGCCCCTTCTCCAGCATGATGAGTGTAGAATCCACCGGATGGGACATATCAAAGCCGCTCATGTCCCAATAGGGGGGGGAAGTCTAGGCCTGGGTCTCCTGAGAAGAAACAACCTGCTGTAGGACCCGTCTGCCAAACGCAACGTCCGCCGCTGCAAGCCTATCTATTCTGTAATGCCTGACAAAAACAGAAGGAGAGGACCACGTCGCAGCCCTGCAAATCTCAACCGAAGCCTGCGTGTGCCAAGCAGCAGAAGCAGCAGCACTGCGAGTAGAATGGGCTGTAATGTGTGCAGGAACAGGAAGAGACTGAGACAGATAGGCCCTAGCAATGCATGCCCTTATCCATCTACCAATGGTCAAGAAGAAACCTTCTGACCCATGGCAGAGGGTCGAAAGGACACGCAAAGCCAAGGTCCGCTTGATATAGTGACACAGAGCCCTGCGTACGTCCAACTTATGCCACTGTCGTTCCCGACTATGAGAAGGATTTGGACAAAAATCAGGAAGAACTACCTCTTGGGACCTGTGAAACAAGGAATTGACCTTTGGAATGAAGGAAGGATCCAATCTGAGGACGACTCTGTCCTCGAAGAAGGTACAAAGATCACTTCTGACTGAAAGTGTAGCTAACTCCGATATTCTTCTAGCCGATGTTATGGCTATAAGGAATGCCACCTTCAAAGACAGGAAATGAAGAGAACAAGAACCTAGGGGTTCAAACGGAGGAGAGATCAGAGCCTGCAAGACCCTGGGCAGGTCCCATGACGGGTAGCGATGGACCGCGGGCAGTCTAGAGCTAACCGTCCCTTTAAGGAAAGCACTAACTGCTGGATATTGTGACAGAGAGACCGAGTTGTCACAGGTAAGGACCGTTGACAGGGCCGCTACCTGTCTGCGGATGGTACTGGGTAATAAACCTTTGTTCATACCTTCCAACAGATAATCCAGAATATTGGGGATTGTGACCGTGAGTAGATTGAGATTTTGTTTATTGCACCACATGCAGAAGTTCCTCCACGTGGCGTCATAAATCCTATTGGTCGAGGGGTGCCTAGAGGCTTGAATCATTGAGATTACCCCGGACGAATAGGATTGCCTGGTTAAACTTTCCCGCTCAAGTGCCAGGCGGCTAACTGGAGCCACTGTGGATCTGGATGTTGAAGGTTCCCCTGGCTGAGAGCCACCTGGTCTGGGGGAATCTTCCACGGTGGCGAGAGCGAAAGATCCACAAGGTCGGCAAACCACGGGCGCCTGGGCCAATGTGGAGCAATCAAGATTATCTCCGTCCCTTCTTGAATCAATTTGCGGTTGGTTGCCTGTAACAACAGAAGGGGAGGAAAGGCATACAGCAGGTCTCCCGGCCACTGGCACTGGAGGGCGTCTGTTCCCTCTGCTCCCCGTGTTGGGAACCTGGAGAAGAACCTGGGAAGCTGGGTGTTCGACGGTGAGGCAAAGAGATCCAGATACGGGCGACCAAACCTCATTGAGATCTCTCTGAACAGTGCCAGATCCAGTCACCACTCCGAGTGGTCCACTGTGACCCTGCTTAGGGAATCTGCCTGTCGATTTGCCTCCCCCGAGATATGTTCCACTCTGATTGACCCCAGATTGGTCTCTGCCCATAGACCTAGGTCCAGGGCCTCCTGCATGAGTGACCAGGACTGGGTGCCTCCCTGTTTGTTGACGTGGGCTTTGGCCGCCACATTGTCTGTCAAGACTAGCACGTACTGTCCCTTTACTAGGGAGGAAAACTGTTGGAGAGCTAAATGTATGGCCCTGAGCTCGAGCCAATTTATATTGTGAGCTCTGTCCGACCAGGACCACTGGCCCTGGGCCAGGTGGGTCTGGATGTGGGCGCCCCACCGAACAGACTGGAGTCTGTGGTCAGTGTGAGCCTGAGGGGCTCCTTGAAGATGGTCCCCTTGTTCATTGCAGACGAAGCCCACCATAGAAGGGATGACAGGATGTGATGGGGAACTCTGACCCTTTTGTTGGAAGAACTGAGGTTCTGTTTCTGAAAGAGGAGGAGGAACCACTGAAGACGTCTTGAGTGAAGCCTGGCCCATAGAACAATCCCCATGCAAGAAACCATCTTTCCCAAGAGTTGAGTTAGCTGTACCAGGGGCACTGTCTTGTCTCTCCGAATCTGATGTACCAGCTTTCAGATGCTGACCCAACATTCCTGTGAAAGATAGACCTTGCAAAGATCTGAATCTATGATCGCCCCAAGATGTAGGAAGCGCTTTGTGGGGCTCGTGTGACTCTTTTTGAAGTTCACGGAGAACCCGTGATCCTGAAGTGTCTGAATCGTGATTTCCAGATCTGACTGAGTCGACTGGAAGGAACTGGACTGCACTAGGATGTTGTCTAGGTAACATTGCACCCACACCAGCCTCAGACTGAGGTGGGCCGCCAAGACTGCCAGAATTTTTTTGAAGACCCTCGGTGCTGAGGACAGACCGAAGGGAAGAGCCCTGTATTGGTAGTGCCAGTGTGCATAGTAAAACCAAAGGAACCTGCGATGTTCTGGGAGAATGGGTATGTGAAGGTACGCCTCTGTGAGGTCTATGGATAAGAGGAAATCTCCTTTCCTGATACTGGCGAGAATGGACCTTAGGGTCTGTATCTTGAACCTCCTGTAGATTAAGAAGTAATTTAGACCCTTTAGATCCAGTATCGCCCTCCATCCTCCTGAGGCTTTGGGAACCACAAACAGGATGGAGTAAAACCCCTTTCCTTCCTGATCCCAGGGTACAGGTTCTATTGCTTTGATGTCCAATAGATGGGAGATGGCCGTGGATACCAATTGTGCTTTGTTTGTGTTTCTTGACACCAGACACTGAATGAAACGGTCGGGGGGAGGGGAATAGAACTCCAAGGTGAGACCGTACTTGACAGTTTCCCTTACCCAGGAGTCTGTGGTGGTCGTCTCCCAAATGTCGCTGAACAGTGCCAGACGACCCCAATGGGAGAGTCCTCCTTGGCATCACTTAGACGGCCTATACGGGCGACCTCCAGAGCCCCGGAAGGGTTGTTTAGATTGGAATTGGCCCTTGGCTCCAGTGTTTTGGCAGTCCTGTGAGCGATCCTGTCTGGGGGGAAAGGATCGTGAGCCTCTTGACTAATCCCAGGACTGCCCCGCCCGAAAGGGCTGCCTCCATTCCCATGAACCACTTGGATGAAAGGCCTGCCTACGGAACTCCTGTTGGGGCCGTCTGTCAGACCGTTTGGAGGGATGTGCCAGAATCTTACGTTTATCCTTGCCCTCAATAATGTGTGGCTCAAGGATTGGTCCGAACAACTGAGAACCGCTATATTTGGACTTGGATAAACGCCACTTTGATTTTAAATACGTTCTCCACTGTCTCAGCCATAGAAGCCTGCGAGAGGCCACAGTGGCTGCAATGGATCTAGCAGAATACCTGGTTGAGTGAAGGGAAGGTCTGCCACGTACTCTGAGGCGGCCACCAGCTTCCCTAGTGTATGATGTACACGGACCTGGTCAGGTGGAACAAGCGATTGAAGCTCATGAAGCCACATGATCGAAGCCCTGGCAAAGAAGGAGGATGCCTTTATCGCCCATGCCGAAGCCTGGTGCGCTCTGCGGAAGGAGAGTTCAAATTTCTTTTCCTCTGCCTTCAAGGCCTCAACCATATCTCCTGGAATAGCAGATGTGGAAAACAAAGAAGTAAGAGGGGTATCTACAGAAGGGACCTCCAATAGGGAGGCGAACGAAGAGGACACATTAAATAGTTTGTTTTCCGTACTACTAGGGGAGGGCAGAGTGGCCAAGGATGACCACTGCTTCTCCACCGTCATGCGGAAGACCTGTGGACAGGGAATCTGCTTGTCCTCCGCCACCTTTTCTGCAAACAGAGGATTAGATTCGTGACTAGCCGAGGTGGAAGGTCTCTCCTCTTGCACTGAAGTGAGGTTAACAGTGGTAATGGCCTTTAACAGTAAAGACCTAAAAAGAGAGGGATCAAAGAGCCCGGAGGTTGACGCCTGTTCAGGTACAGTCTCCTCATCCTCTGACATGGGTGTGTCAGCTATTTCCAGGTCCACAGACCCTTCATCCCCTAGCTGGGAAGAAGTCTCAGAAACCCCTGAACAGGAAACCGTGATGCCTGCTGCCTGAGAAGGAAGCATGGAAGGAGATGGTGGTGGTTGGAAAGACCGCTGTCCCCTAGAAGACGTGAATTGCATAAATGCATTGTGCATGAAAGACTGAAATTCAGTTGACCATCTATCTCCTTGTTCCTCGTAGCTGGCACCAGCCTCAGCTGGGACCAATGTGGCCTCAGGACCATGATGTGAAGATGATGAAGAGGAGCGAGGGGGACCAGCCTGCACAGTTTCCCCTTGAGGAGACCAAGCCCTTGGGACATCATGAGAAGTTGTGAATGGGAGCTCAGACGTGGGAGTGTCCAATGGAGCGGGGGAAACCACATTAGCCTCATTGGACCTGAGCCTTTGGGCTTTGGAAAATTCTCTTTCCAGTTCCAAATGTCTCCTCAAAGTGTCTTGCTCGAATGTTTGAGAGGGCTCCTTAGTAGAAAGATGTTTTGTCTTAGCCTTTTTCTTCCCCCCCGCGTCCAAATCAGTAGATCTGTGCTTTGCTTGTGCAGGGGGAATACCAGAGCCCTGTGGTGCCTGAGGCGATGGACTATCTGCCATTGTGGTCTAGATATTCCGAGTAGGAGATATCCAGAAGTGGGGGGGACCCAACATGCAGATCTGAATTGACAGAGATGGAAAACCAATCCTAGCTCTGCACAACAGCAATGGCAGGGACAGCCAGACAGCTTCCTAGAACTGTCTGTCTAGGCCAGTGAACAATGCCACTCTCAGGTGGTGTAAGCAATTTCCCTTTGCTCAACTCACACCAAAAGACAAAGATATGTGACAGAATCACCAAGTGATGAAACCAATAATCCTATATAGTTCAGGATCAAATCAGTGAATTGTATGGAACAAGCTGTAAACTTCCCCCCAGTTATAGGCCTGAAAACACAGGCCAGTAGAGAATAGGCAAGCCTCAAGCCCTTAAGAGGGACTTCTGTGCCAAAAACACACTCAAAATGGCAGTCGTGGCTAAAGCCACACTCAAGATGATGGCCGCCCACAATGACCCTCTCAAAATGGCGACCGCACCTTGCACATGCGGTCAAAATGGCGGCCGCGCCTGTTCCGAGCCTCCGAGAAGGCGAAAAACTCAGGAGGGAGGAATGGAAGGAATCAATCTCCCTGAGAGAGCAATAAACTCAAGGAAGAGCAGTTTTGTTAAAAGAAGCACTCTCCCCCCGGCTTTCTTTGAAAAAGAAAGAAACTTGCTGTTAGTTGCACAGCCTCCGCTGCGATCCGAGTCCTGCCGCCAAAAGGGAGCCTCGATGTGACGAGGCCAAAGAGGGAAGCCTCCAAACGGCCTGAGTCCCAGGCGACTCCGATTTTCAAGAACCAGCTGGTAGGCTGGTTCGCGCTCCGCTGTGTTGTATGATCAACAGAGGAAACACCCCCGCTCGGAGAAAGGGAGGCCCGCAGCCTTCTTCACAAGAGCCTAAAAGGCTCAAAGCCAGAAGGCCTCGTTGAATTTAGAACTCTGCCAATTCGGACCCAATTACACCAGTAAACAAGAGAAAAACTACATTTTAAATAATTAAAGGAAAATTTGACCTAATTAAATTAAAACAGTATAGAATAAATGCAAAAACTTAGCCTAGTTGAAGGAGCCAGAATATCTGCGCCTTGCTGAGCACGAGACTAAGTCAAAACTGGGAAGGCACATCTTGAAGGAGGTGTGGCCAAAGTTCTGACCTAGTCTATCTGGGCAGGAAGGCTGAAATAACCTATCCGGTGGATTCTACACTCATCATGCTGGAGAAGAGCTACACATTCAAGATGAAGCTCCTTGTTGACACATGTATTTTAGCCAGCCCTCAATGGAAGGGACTCTAAAACTCAGTCTTGACCATCTCCTGCAAATAGCTCACCTCTATTCTTAAGCATTTTATTACTAGAGGTTGAAGCCTGCTTTTGCCAGAGACACCATTGTAGGAATCAGTGCTCAGTCATTGCAGGGTGCAAATATGGCTGACTGCTTTTGCAGTGTTTATTGCCTTTTATAAAGGTATTCCAAATAGCATAAAGTAAGATGGCATCAGCATAGCAACAGCAGTTCTATTGGTGAAACCCCTTGCCAATCCTTAAGAATATACCAGCCAGGAGGCCCCAGCCAGGGAGCAGTTTCTACCACATCCTGTTGATGTAACCTGGCTGATATCATGTGAACCAGGTGATATCATGTACCAGCCTGGGGTAGTTTCCCACATTCCCATGGTGATGTGAATAGTGAGATCATGTAGAACAGTGTTTCTCAACCTTGACAATTTTAAGGCATGTGGACTTCAACTCCCAGAATTCCACAGCCAGCAATGCTGGCTGTGGAATTCTGGGAGTTGAAGTCCACATGCCTTAAAATTGTCGAGGTTGAGAAACACTGATGTAGAGAGAAGAGGCATGCAGGTGTTGGAAGGCAGTTTGCTGCTCGTGACCTCTACCTGGCCCCTATCTCTACACACCATGACTGGAAAGCCTTAAGCTGTGCTAACCTTTGCTTCACCCCAGGTTAGTCTTTTTGAATAAAAACTCAGATTCCTTCCCCTTTATTATATAGTTTCACTTCTTCCTCCTCCACTTATTTCCATCCCTTGCCAGAACTTGCAGGTAACTAATGCGGCTTGAGCTCCAGATTTTCACTGTTCTTAGGTAACCACAGAATCAAGTGAAAAAAAGTTAGAACACTAATACATAGTCTGCTGAAATATGAATGCCTTAATTTGCCACAGGTTCCCATAGACAAAAAAATCAGACAAACAAGAGATTAAGAAGCCTTAATCTGAAGAACCGTGTGGAAAAAAGTGAGAAACTTGTACTATAACCCCTTATGAGCTTTAGAAAACATTGCAAGGAGAAGGAAGGCATGTAATTTTCCGGTCATGAACCAGCTCTGTTCATTCTTATTCCATCCAGCCTTACCCTGAAAAAACTGAAGATATACAGATGATGAGAACCAAGCAAACCGAGCAAAAAGGAAGATCTTCTTTAAGATTGCTCACCTCTCCCTCTCTCAATTCCATTTTCTCCCCCCAGCTTTCTGCTTCAGATTAGGATGCGGATCTAACCATGCATCAACTTTAGACATTTAAGTGTAATTATTTTACTTAATAAGCTACAAAAAGCAAAAAGTCTGATTATGATCTATTTACTCGAACCAATGTAAAAAGTGGAGTATTCTGAATGCTTATAATGTGGTCACTTGAGAGAATGAAATGGTTGCTGGACGTAAATATCGAATAAATGCAGGATATTGGTATAGAGGTATTCCTAGAGTTGAAAACTGACTGTCAAGCCCAGCTGCTAAATTTGAGTTGCCAAAGGAGTAACTTTGGAGTACAATCTCCTGACAGACTAAAGTAGTTAAACATGGGAAGACATTCTCAGATTACAGGATTGGCTAAGGAAACCCACAATTACTAGAGAATCCCTGGAAAGGGGATTCCTAGAGGGTAAGGCAATGAACTGCCCCACAGTATGTGGTGTGAGTGAGGAAAGTGAGATTGTATTAAAGACCTAGCCAGCTCCAAGTTAGCTTTAAGAAATCCTGTCATTTTCTATTCTTACATTAACTATTTCCTTCTGTCATTTTATTTCCAGGATAAGAACACCATGACTACAATGATATCCAAACTTCGTGAAAATGGAAACTTTTCTGCACTTGTTAGCCAAACTATGACATGCCACGTGGATTCTGAATTCAGATATCTACTCTTTACTATCTACTACAGCATCATTTTCATTCTGGGCTTTGTAGCTAACACCTATGTGCTGTGGCTTTTCTGGCGGCTTTATGCTAAGAAGAAATTAAATGAAATAAAAATATTCATAGTCAATTTGACAACTGCTGACTTACTTTTCCTGGTTACATTGCCAATGTGGATTGTTTATTACAACTACAGAGGGAACTGGATCATGCCCAGCTTTCTGTGTAATATAGCTGGCTACTTATTTTTCGTCAATACATACTGCTCTGTGGCATTCCTGGGAGTGATAACATACAATCGTTACCAAGCTGTCACAAGGCCCATTTCAACGGTTCAATCCAGCACACGAAGAAGAGGAATTTATGTTACATTGGCTATTTGGATCCTAATAGGTGTTCCTTCCATCTACTTTTTAGTTGATGATGGCACAACCCCTGAGGGGCATGTGATTCGCTGTTTTGAGCGTTATGATACCACCACTAATACCACGCCTATTCTTGCCTTCCATGTGATTATTTGTGTTTGTTTCTTCATTGCTTTCCTGCTTGTCTTAGTATGTAATGCTTTCATTATCCGGACATTGCTTTCAAAAACAGTGCAAACTCGGAGGAGTGCCCGTGTCAGGCAACGGGCTCTTTGGTTGGTGACCACAGTTTTGACTGTCTTCACTGTCTGCTTTGTGCCTCACCACTTGGTGGATCTACCCTGGACTTTGATGGTTCTGAACAAGTGGGACATAAGCTGCCAAAGGAAAAAACTATTAAATGATATCCATCAGGCTACCCTTGTTTTTCTGGGTGCCAACTGTGTCCTGGATCCTATCATTTATTGTTTTCTCACAAAAAAATTCAGGAAACATCTTTCTGAAAATTTTAAAAACATAAAAGACAGTCGAAAATGCTCCAGGCAAACAACTGAGACTGGAATGGAAGGGATGGTACAGTTAGATGATTGTATTCCTGCATCCCCTAAACCTTAAAAATATTTTGAACGCAAGATGGAGGAAGATACTTCTGTAGCAGCAAAAAAGGCCAAAGAACATACATTTGGTTACAATTGGTTAAGTTAAAGGACAAACATATACTGCATGCAGATAAGGAAATACAATATGTCTCCTCACAAAAAGCAAAGATTATAAGCAGGAGCTTTGATTTGCTGCCCAAAAGCTAACTAAAGATGGCTATTGGGGCCCTCTTTTCATTCTTAAGGAAACGGACTGAACATCTAGGCTGAGACTTTCTGATTGAAAACTGTAAAGTGAAATGAAATGATAACTTTCTTACTGAAGAGCAACATTTACTTATTATCAGTGTCAAATAAAAGCTAATGCCTAGCAAGAATGCTTGGCAAATTAATTTAGGGCTGCATCCTGTGTTGTCCAAAAACAGCAAGAACTGAAGGCCACGTAACACAAATGCAAGATCTCTGAAAGGACATGCCATATCTCAAATGAGATGACTTTGGATATTGTTGTGAAGGTAAAGAATTTGTGAATCTCTTATTTGAAAGATAGATATTACATTGTTCCAGTTGTGCTATAATATAATCAGTATTTTTTTTTTCATCCTGAGGTACTTCTAAATTCTTGGGCATCATTTGGAATATCCTAGTGCCAATATCTAGGACAGGGCTATAGGATTCTTTTTCATCAAACATGCCATTCTCATGGGTATAATCTTTCTCTTGCTCTTTTGTCATTCCTTCAAATCAAGAAAGGCTGAGAGATACAAGCCAAAATTTATAAACTTACAACTTAACAGTCATGGATTAGCCAAAAATCCCTATGCAAATTTAGAAGTTGAGATAGGAAACAAGAAGACCTATCCTGAAACAAGCCTGGAGAATGAGAGAACCATTGCCTGTAGGTCCATCAGGAATGAATTCTCATTATTTTGTTTGCAATCATATCTATGGAAAAGTAAAATCTAAATTACAACCTTACATGAAATTAAGACTTCTGATATATTATGCCCATTTCAATATATTGTCCTTCTCCACATCTGTAACCTTCCACAATTTGACAGGCACACATCTGAGACAGGAGTGTCTTCTACACATGAAGGTTGTTCATGATTTAGAATGCTGACTATGCTAAGGGATCATTGGCTTTCTCAGGAAACCCAACTGTTGCCTAATATTTCATTACTATCTTTTGCTTTGTAATAGTCTAATCTTAAAATATTCAAAAATACAAGTGAGGGGTCCTTGGTGCTCTCTAAGCTTATTTTCTTGCAGAGGTTTCATTATCCTAACTAGGTAACATCATCAGTGCTAGTAAGGAGTGCTGTTTGCTGTTGGTTTATATTCTGATGTCTTGCCTGTCTGGGTGTGTGTGTGGGGGGGCGGTTTTAGGGATTCTTTGGTTGGGCTGTTTATTAATGGCTCTGTGGCAGTTTCTTGATTGGGGTATTGCTTACTTGATTGTTGGTCTGAAGGTGACTTTAGAGTTAATCTATGCCAGGGGTCTTCAAACTTGGCCTTTTTATGACTTGTGGACTTCAACTCCCAAAATTCCTCAGCCAGCATACCTGGCTGAGGAATTCTGGGAGTTGAAGTCCACAAGTCATAAAAGGGCTAAGTTTGAAGACCCCTGATCTATGCTGATCTGAGTGCTGATTACTGGTGGAAAAGTGCTGGAGTCTTTTTCTCTTTGGGGCTGGTTGATTGTCTCTTTTGCATAATCCATAGATGTTGTTAATGTCTATGTGTCTATTGATGGCTGATTTGTCAGAATGCAAAGCTTCTAGAAAAATACAAGTAATAAATGACAATTGTTTTATTCAATCTCTGAATTGACATATGACTTTTATAATGTTATGCAATGAAGGAGTATGGATCACTAATGAAAAACAGTGATGATGAAAAAGAGTTAGCCAATAAATACTGTCCATTTTTTTAGATAAAAACTTATCAGTAACTCCATTATTGTATTGAAGACTACAAAAGACAAGCATAGCCTAGTTAGTCCAGGAAGGGAAAAAAGACTGAAATGTATAGCTGGTAACACTTTTATTAGAAACACAATGGCCGAAAAGATTATCCAAATTTGAAGATCTCCAGGCTTCCAACAAAAGCCTTTTGGATCATATCTCTGGCAGAAAATTGGCTAAATAGATGACAGAGTTATGGACAGAGGGAGAAGGGTAGCAGAAGTTTACACTCAGCAGCACTAGATGACCAAGCTGAGCCCGAGGGAGGGGTCAAATGCATCATCAGTCTTGAGTCCCTTAGTGCCCACAAGAGATCTAAGTCCAGCCCACCATGAATTCCTTATCTACTGCCAAATTGCTTTAACCATTAGTAGTTCAAATTCTTGTAGAGAGCTTAAGCTTGCAATAAATCTTTATACCCATTTGAACTGTCTGGATCTCCTGATTTCTCTGGAGCTTGACAACAGCTATGGAATGATTCCCACCATCAATCTCTTTCTTTCTGTGCTTTTATTGTTTATTTATAATATAGACACTTAACATGTGAGGTTACCTCTAAGTATGTCTGGATTCTGCATTCCACTTGCCAGAAATGATCTCTACCTGAAATGCTGTGGGGAAAAAAGAATACACTTGTTATATTCATATCAAAAAGAGGGGATGCCAAACATTTGTTCTCAAATAGTTTAGGTTGGAACACCTGCGTTTTTAATTACTATCAACTCGAGATTTATTAAAAGCACATTAGAAGTTCTAATTGTGAAGCTCCTGCAGGTATATTATGTATTTGTTGTTTTAAAATAAGACTGCAACCTGGAGAACATTTATTGGTAATTATATTGAAGTGGAATAAAGTGGAATAAAGTAGAATAACATAGAATAAAATGAAAAATAAAGTAGAATAATAATAATGATGATGAAAAATCATTATTCAAGTAAAATGTCTAAAAATAATAATTTAACCTATACAAGTGGGAATGATGGTGATTGGGCTCTCATTTCCAACTTGGTAGGACATGTATGTTACTCAAGAAACAAAACAGAATCTTACATAGCAGTAGATGACCTCCTATGCACAGGGACATGGAAAAACGGTAAATGGTGGTCTGGAACCAACGAGACCACTGCTATGAATCGTTATGCCCTTACTAACATACCTGGGATGCCATATCTAAAAGACCCCACAAATACTAGTCTCCATTGGTTAGCCCCAGATGGAATGTACTGGATTTGCAGAAAAATGGCATACGGACAACTACCTAAGAACTGGTGTGGATTTTGTGTATTGGGAATAATTTGGCCAGGATTTTTCCTGTTACCATTAAAAACCAAATTCTTGGAGTCCCTATATATGATGAAGATGCCAATATAAGACAAAAAAGGGAACCAAGTGCATATACCCAATGCGCAGGAATCACTTGGCAAAAAAATGAATGGCCACCTTGCCGCATCATCCTAGTCTATGGCCCGGCTACTTGGGCTGAGGATGGAATGTATGGATACCGTACCCCTATTTATATGATCAACAGGATCATTGGGTTACAAGCGGTGGTAGAGTTAATCACCAATGAGACTGTGAAGGGACTAACTGAATTGGCCATAGAAAATGTGAAATCCAGAACATATATCATGCAAAATAGGTTAGCCCTGGACTATCTTTTGGCCAAAGAAGAAGGGGTATGTGGAAAATTCAACCTAGCAAACTGTTGCATCGAAATAGATGAAAGTGGAAAAGTATTGAAAGGCATAACAGACCAAATGATCAAGTTAGCACATGTTCCGGTGCAAACCTGGAACGGATTTAACTTGGAAGATGTATTTTCAGGATGGTGGCCATAGTCACCAGGCCTACAAACCATGAAACAATGTTAGCTTTATGGGAATATAAAATGGTACCTTCAAGAGATCCTGAATCAGAGGCAGAATAATGGAAGTTTAAGCTGGGGAAATAAAGTGGAATAAAGTAGAATAATTATGATGATGATGATGAAAAATTATTATTCAAGTAAAATGATGTGTCTGCATAATTCCTGGAAGAAAGCTGTTAGCAAAAGCTGTGTTAACAAAACGTGACTGACCTAATGCACATTGAGAAACACTGTATAAAGTAAAACTCTCTTCATTGTATGCCTGTGAGAAACTAACCGAATGATATACAATGTAGATTCCATGTGTGCTCCTTTGTTCCTGAGAAAGGGAGAGCTATAAAACTGTAGTTTGAACCCACCCCCTTTGTTCAGAATTTGCTGTTGTTAACTGGCTTCTGAACCTTGCGCAAATAAACTTCTCTGTTACACCCTTTGGAATTCGTAAAAGTCCTTTCGTTTTCCACAAGATTTATGGTGACTTCCCCGCTGGCACTTTTAGGAAGAGATATTTAACTTTCCAGACGGATTGCTCTGGTGGAGAGCCCCTCTCCTAAATGACTGCTCCAAGCCGGCTCCGTGGCCTTTGCCTGCGGGGAGACCTCGACGGGAGGAAAGGGAATTTATCCATCAGCGAAGAACTCCAGTCAAGGATCCGCCAAGGGTGACAGACAGGTCTTTAATCAACAAAGGAGTCTGGAACACCTGCAGGTAAGCATTGTAAAAGGGGAAACCTGATCCCTTTTGGATCAGAAGAGGGGACTGATCACCCCCTAGAAGACAAGGCGGCGTCCTTAAGTCTTCATAGGTAGGATTGTGTGGGTGGTTAAACCATCGCAGTTCCTGCAGAGTGACCGTTGGAACGTCCGGCCCTCCAGGTCGATGGTAGTGTGTTAGAGAAAGGAATGGGAAAGAAACAGTCAAAGAAGGGCATTGGCCAGGCGCCGCTTCAGTGCATGTTAGAAATTTTCAAAAAGGGTTTTTCTAGGGATTATGGAGACCCAAAACCAAATCCAGCCATGTTAAAAAGATTCTGTGAATCTGAATGGACTACCTTTGGCGTAGGGTGGCCTAAGGAGGGATCGGCGAATCCCGAACTCGTGGCACGGGTTCATCAAATTGTGACTGGAAATGGTCATTGGGACCAATACCTCTATATTAACCAGTGGCAGATCAATATTGCAGAAAGACCTCGATGGTTAGCAAAGTGTCAGATAGAATGTGCTAAGATATATTTGGCAAGCCAAAAGCCAAGCCTCAGACAAAAGCTAAGATTTTCAGCCAGGAAGACAGGGAGGAAATTGCCAGACCCCCTCCCTATGTTTCTAGAAGAGAAGAAGGGAGAATAAATCAGCAAATTCCACCCCATCTGGTTGAAAATGAAGCCCAACTTCAGCCAGAGGCTGGTGAGGAAAGAAAAATAAAAACAGATGGAACAATTCAAGAGAAAGATAAGGACTTGGATAACAATGAAAGCAAAACAACAGTTTCTAGCCGAACTAGAAGTAAAACAGGGGTGAAAAACAGAAGAAAATATAGCCCTTCTAAGAGAAGTTTTGGTCCTTGGACCAGACAACACCAATATTTCAATGCTCCAATATGTTCCCTTTACCACCACTGATTTACTTAATTGGAGACAGCACTTTGGATCATTTTCAGAAAAACCTCAAGAAATAACATTTATTCTCAAACATTATCCAGACCCATAACCTTTCCAGTGACGATATACAACAGCTTATCTCTACTTTACTGGATGTGGAAGGAAGAGAAAGATATAAATTAGGGAAATTGAAGGTACTTGCCAGACGACATCCAGAGGAAGGAGTTAATTATGAGACACACAGAAATACTGATGCTGTAGAACAAAGACTAGACTGGAATGCAAATAATGTCCAACACCAGACTTTGTTGCAAAGTTATCAGATGTTGTGTTTAGAAGCTTTGAGAAAAGCAGCCATCCGTCCAGTTAATTATGCTGCCGTAACTAATGTTTGGTAGGAAAGAATGAGTCTCCAACTGCTTTTCTCAGCCGACTGATAGAAGCTTATAAAATAAACACAGGTCTTGATATGGAGTTGGCTCAAAATTGCCCACTCCTAATTGAAAGATTTATTACCCAGAGTGCCCCGGACATAAAACAAAAGTTACAGCGGACAGAAGGGGCCTTAGGGAAGAATATAGCAGAGATTATGGAAATCGCTCAAAAGGTGTTCCGTAACCGTGACAAGGAGGAGGAACGCAAATCAGATCAGAAAAAGAAAGTTGAAATGTTAGCAGTGGCATTGGGAGGAATGTATATTGGACCCAACCAATGTGCCATCTGTAAACAGGAAGGACACTGGCAAAGGGAGTGCCCCCAGAGGAATGAACAACCCAGGGGACAATCTCGCCAGTGTGGAAGAGGAAGAGGATTTAGAGGGACATTCCAGAGAGGCAACAGGAAAAGCTTCAAAGGAAGAGGGCAACCAGCCTATCCCAGTCAGAAAGAGGAAAGAGAAGA